ATTGCAAATCGACAATGGTTGCGTTTTGTCGCCCCGTTTGTCGAATATCAGGCCACCAATATTTCCAATAACATATATCCAACTTATATACCGGATTTTCTGTGTAGTCAGGTTCAATAAACTACATACTACATGTGCGTTTCTTTTTTTGAAGAGTGTATGCAGAAAAGTCTCAGCTTGATATCAATGTTACAAAATATTAGTATGCTCTGTATATATTTGGATGTTCTTCCCATGAGCCTCAATTGAAGTTGGACGATATACTGATACGTTAAGGAATTCAAGGATATGGTCGGTATAACTTTATTAGACTTGAAAATGAGTATCATATTGTCAACATATATTCCCTTTATTCTCAGTTTATAATCAAGATTTTACCATGCTGAAAAATATCTAAGCATTTGTATCTAGCACACCTGTATAGACAAACATGAGTTTTTTAGGTAGTCAATTACAACATAAACCGTATACCATGGGTATATGGTCTCTTAAGTATGAAAACAATAATATATGAATATATAGAAAGGTACTGTAGATATAAATTACATGTTGTTCAAAACGGCCATAAAACCGAAATCACACATTCACTCACTGCCTGTCCCTCTGTGAATTCTAACCAAATCGTATGTGGGGCACAAATAGGTTATTTACTTGTCTCGGTAAAGCCTTCGTATCCAAATATCAATGGCCAACTTCGCACTTACAAGTGGTGGGATACAATGGTTCGATGGATGCAACGTTTCGATTGCTTGATGAAGTGCAGATCTCATTATAGAAACAGATACGAATGTAGTTTGGGTCACGTTACAGAACACCAACGCCAGCGAACAACCAGTCGTGATCAATAAACTCAATTATATCGTTTTATAAACTAATTTTATCTAATTATATGAACAAATAATTATATAAACTAATTACATCATTTGTTTCAATCAATATAACATTTTGATGCCACTATTTGCACCAATTGAAAAGCTCGATTTATATTCCAGCTGTGCTCAGTTTCTGTTTTTTACCAATAATTTTACAGAAATGCGCAAAATTACTTGCCACGTTTACAAAGTTTATGGTTATGATAAAACTTTGTTCAAATGTCTGTCGGAATTCTATATTTATGAAATTTTGTTCCATGGAATTCAAGTATTACAGCCACTGTACATGTACGTGTGAAGATGCTGACTACCGATATTCATGTAATCTAATGATTTAGGGAATTCCTTGTGTGAAGAATAAACACATCAATGTATGAGCGAGTGAATTTTGTTTAACGCCTCGATCAGGAATGTTCTTGCTATATCGAGTCTGGAACTGGCAAACCAGTCACTCTCAGCATGTTGTTTGTTTGTTTGTTTGTTGTTAAACGCCACACCCTGCAATATTCCAGCTATATGACGACAGTCTGTAAATAATCGAATCTAAACCAGATAATCCAGTGATTGACATCATGAGCATCGATGCACGCAATTGGGATACGGTGACATGGATCAACCAAGTCAGCGTGCCTGACCATCTGATCCCGTCAGTTGCCTCAAAGGACAAATATAGTCGCCTTTTTCGTCAAGCATAGGTTACTGGAGAACACATTTTTCGGTAATGGAATTTAATAATTACGTTAAATGGTAAAGAGATAATCACGTGTGTGTGTTTTGGGATGATCAATATCCTGTATTAGAAAAAAGCCCAATATGTATTCAGCTCGCCAACGTCCGCTAAGTACAATGTTTATTCCGAATACATGATATTGACCATCCTCAAACACACTTGTGTGATGAAATCTATTTATGTGTGTTGCCATTTTGGAAAGATTTAATTTGTTGTGTAAGATATGATGGGGTTTAACGTCGCGTTCAAGATTATTTTACTCATTAAGTGACGTTCATTTACGTGTTTGTGTGTTTTATTGTATTAGTCCGGACAAATACCGGTTTTTTATTGCTAGCCCACTCAGATACCACGCCGCAACATTTTAACATGAAAACCCCACTGAGACACAGTGTACTGACTCTGAGCCCGCCCGTCCTTGGTTTACCCCATTTATGACACCAACAAACAACAAACAAATGGAATAAAATAAACAATTGTATTATTGCATTAACTAGGTTTACAAATCAATACAAATTACAATGGCAGTACACAAGAGAGTGGCAGTACAAAATTCAATCGCAGCAAAAAATAGAATACCAGTGGCAATAGCAAAACGATATAATATTCACCTAGCAGCAACAGTGGTCAAGCTTCCAAAATAGGCCTAGAATGGACATCAAGTATGAAAAACATTATCTTCATACAACCGCTGGTCTTGATGTAATGTGAAATGATATAGGCACGCTCATGCTCCTAACACTCTAAATACCTTCCAGAAAGCTCTATACAGTGCTACATAGCTATAGTCTAGCTGTTCTAGAAGATTCCAGATTACACTAGACTCCAAAAGCTTCTAAATATAGTAACTTCCACACCACTAATTACATTAGATAATAATAAACATTCCTCACAACTAATTAGTGTCAAAACACAATGTTAAGAATTTCTACTGAATGTCAACAGAAACAATGTAATACAATATTGTTAAACACTACATTACACTGCCTTTTAACACTCTCCCCACCGGTGAAAAAAAGTTTGAAAATAGTGAGAACTTTCTTTGCTAATATAAATACAAAAACTGCTAAGTTCAGTAAATAATAGTAATAATTAGAATTTTCTACAAAATGTACATCCTGTTTCGAACAAAACTGATCAAATTCAACCAACTCAGGTTTATGCACTAGCAATGATGTTGTCTTTGACTTTAATATGTTTGATGTCTAAATCAAATTCAAACTCAAAAGACAGGCTCTAGCGCATTAGGCGAATTTACGAAGTGAAGTCAGTGGGTTGGTGTCAGTGTATACGTGAATAGGAATCAAAATATTACCTACATACACTTCAAATTGTTGCAAACTAACGATGGAGTAATTTCTCTGAGTCTCTCGAAGAAGGCACGGGTCCTTTGCAGGTATTGGGTAAGAATCAGTTTCAGAAACAGCGTTCACCTGTTTCATGTCTGTATAGCATCTGTGACTACAATCAAGTTTCGGGGGAAAAAAATGCAAGGTGAACAACAGTCACTGTGACTTCAAAAATGGCATTACCCAGCATGTATTCAACTTCCTTCTTTGGTGCAACACTGAATTACACTGCCATATAACAATATGTTTACAGATTTTCAGTTTTAGCATGGCGCGAGGCCCCAAGTCATGAACGCCGAATAGCTAGTAGTTAGGTGCAAGACATCAATACGCCCCTGTGCTGATAGACCAATGATTGTCATTTGGTTATCAGCGATTCGAACCCACAGTGGATCCTGGTTCAAATAAGGGACGCAGCACTACACTTCGGTCTATATAACAAAACACAGACTCCCCTCGTCATCAATGTATATTACAAACATGAAACTAGGTGTACGTGGATGCGGCAAACAGAATGCACCGTCCTACTGGAACTGGTTGTTTCATGTCACGAGAGACGATGGAGCGTGGTTAAAGCGTTAGCTCGTGACGCCGAAGACCCGGGTTCGATTCCCGACATGGGTACAATATTAATGTGCGAAGCCAATTTCTGGTGTTCCCCGTCGCGATATATCTGGAATATTGCTAAAAGCGGCGTAAAACCTAACTCACTCACTCAGATCACGAATAGAGCGTTACAAGAAATGAACTTATCCAAAGCTCCCATATTCATATATCACACTCATACAAACATTTTGCTCATATGTTCCAAGTGAATTGTTGCCACGCCATAGTTGCAAGTGATATTCCCCAGCCATCTTATATGCAATCATACATAATACATGACAGACGGTGTTATGTGTTAGACTGGGAAAGAGTTGTTACTTAATAATGATTTGTTCTGTCGTGTCTTGTTTTGCGATTCTGTCTTTCAGAAGAATGTCCTGTTTTGGGCTGCAAACTGTGCACCCTAAAGGACCGTTGATGTTATCAGCAGCGACATAATGTGTCAGCAGCTTCAGCACTTTCTTTTCTTATCACAAGATATAGCCCCAAACAAAATATTTCTGCAATAGCTGGACGTTCCTAGAAAACTAACATGTATAAATGACCTTTTATCTTTATAGAAGGGGTGGTGCAATGATGAGGCAGGTGGCCCTGATCCTTGGCTCATACAAATTGTGTATCTCTTTTTTCTATCTCAGGCAGAAACGATGACGCCTGCCATGTTCCTGTACACCACAAGAGCAGCAACTCAAATTCTAGTACAAACCATTCTGGAGAGCTCCACTCGCTGCCGTTGACTGCTGTTCAAATCCGGCCATGGACATAGATAGTCTTAACTTGTTGTTCAAACATTTGCTGCCATTGACAATTACTACACATATAACTGCAACAGTTTCTATGGCAACTAAATTATTTACACAACACTATCTGTAACCAAATGAGGTAATACGAGTATGGGCATTTATTCATTCAGTGTGCTGAGTGAGAAAAATTACGGTTTCGCGAAGCATATGATTTGGTCTGTTTTACAAAACATAGGGGTGAAAACATGACTTAGTAACTGTAACTAGCTGTTATTTCTTTAAGAATCGCGTTGGCATTTGCCACACAAGTCATTAAGATTGAACACGAAACACTTTAGTAAGTAACAACTGAAATGTGTCAAGAACGAGTTATGACTATCACCATGTTATCATAATCGACATGTCGATGACAGAAGCATGTTCATATAAGGGTAACGCTATTTTTCAGGGCATTATCATTTGCAGAAGTCCGAGGTCTTCCATTAACTGCCCGACAAAGGAGGGCAGTTGAAAAGACCGAGGGCTTCTGCAAATGATAATACCCTGAAAAAGAGCGTTACCGTTACTATAGCTAAAATGGATGGAATTTGTTATCAAATAAAAAGAAACAACAATATCGGTTTTGTAACATTTACTGCAATGAACACGAATGTCACTAGACTGGTTCCCGGATCCTCCGCTTGGTGTCGCTGCACTTGTTCCGCTTTTCAGTCAAAGGACCGGTATCGCCCACCATGACACATCGTCTGCTACAACAAGATGGCGGCTGTCAAAATGCATTGGGCGAAGCTAGTGAGCTCTGGAAAATTGTAGTTTTCCAAGTAATGGAGGTGAGTATTGGTACCAACATAACGGCTATGGGATGTCAATGTATTCTTTGACTAATTTCGTGCAAATATTGACACGGCAGTGTTTTTGTTTTAAATGGAGGACGATGAATCTCTTATGAATTTACCTTCTGAACAGATTATCACGAAGTTCTTACGCAAGACAATTTAAGTTTCTGAGAAATTCTGTATGAAACTGCCGTGTTGTCAACTATCTGTTGCATGGACTATTACATATGCACTTATATTCATAATTCATATGCTTGTCATTGTGTCTGGTAGTACGAAATTGTCATTTCTAGGCAACAACATGACACGGCCAAAATGTCAATGATAACACATGAAACTGAATTTTGACCGAAATAATATCTAGAAATATTTTGTGAATAGTTTTGATGATTTCCGCATCAAAAAAATTAAAGGCAATGAAAGCACGAATAAATATTTAGCTGCAAATATTTTATCGTGACAATAATTACGAAACGGGAATCATTTGAACTGGGCTATGTTTATGGTCAGATATGGTCATGTACCCTAATTTCGTGGGTATATTATTAAATTCCTGAGCATACTGAGGGACCATTTGATATTGGTGGGAGAGTGGGGTAGAGTATGGTGGTCTGGGTCTAGGATTGTGTTTGGAGACAATTTGTATTATCAGCTACAGCTGAAATACCAGATATTCTTTTAATTACAACTATGAGACTAATCATGTTTTTATAGGCCTCTTGCAACAATGTATTCTTTGTAGCAGTCAATTTCTTTTTTTCAACAGTTTGAAGCATGAATATTTTTTTCAAGCATATTTCAGGGACAATTTATTTTTCTCAATAAAATCCCAGCCCTACCACCAGAATACCAAATGGTTGGTCCCTTATGTCTTGATTAAATCAAAGAATTAACATTATAAATATGATCAACTGATGAAAAAAATCAGGACAATGAATAAATCGTCAAATGCTTCATATTTAATTGAAAGGACATTAAAGATCTGTCCATATTTATAGGGTCAGACTAGACTATTATTTTTAAATTATTTGAAAAGTTCTATATAGTAATATTTATTTTTATTTATAAATATTTAATCATTTGATGTGACTTTTAAAATGTGTCGATCTGATGATCATGTTAACCAATGCATTACAATACATAAAGAGTCAGTTGAATAGGTTGCACTACTTTAACATACAATAGGCCCTATGCAGGTACATATGATATAATAATATGTTGTTGAATGCCTTTGTGAATATACTACATGTACAGTAACTGTAATTACATCTGTTGTCTCCAGATTAACAGCTGATGTCGCGTAAGGCCATAGACTGTTTCCCGGATCCTCTGCTTGGTGTCGCTGCTCTTGCTCTGCTTTCCAAGGAATTAAAGGACCGTTATCGCCCACCATAAAACATGGTCTGCTTAAACAAGATGGCGGCTGACAAAACACATTGGGCAAGGCTTGAGAGCCTTGAAATATTGTAGTTTTCGCAGTAATAGTGGTGAGTATTAGTACCCACATAATGGCTATTTGATGTCAGTGTATCTTTTGACTAATTTCGTGCAAATATTGATACGGCAGACTATTATTTTTTATTCATTTGAAAATTTCTTTATAGTAATATTTATTTATATTTATTAATATTTAATCATTCATTACCATGTAATTATTAGTTGTATTCAAACTGCATACACATACATGTTTGTTTGTAGGAACTTGCATAAGAATGAAGTCATGACTGACCGTACCATAACATAGTCTTTGATACAAAGTTTAGGTGGTAAAGATTAAGACAAAGCAAACAGTATTGGCCATCCTGACAAGTTTTATATGAGACTCCCTACATTATTTTCTAAGTTTTGTTTTAAGCTGTTGACACAAATTTTGTATAAACATACTGATGTTGCACCATTTGCCTAAATTTAGAATATTTGAAAAAAAATAATATATAATATTTTGCAGGAACCATGCTATAATGGGAGATGGACTAGAGATGAGGAGAACTTTTTGACAGTTTGTGGAGAGCAGGGGGGTGGAAAATATCAAATACAAAGAGTGGAAGGACTGTGCCGAAGACCAGAGAAATGGGTGTACAGACTGATGTAACTTTTGGGCCTATGATTGAAGTGACCTGGGCATGTAGCAGTCATGCACTTTATACCACTCATTCGCATTCCTTAATTAGATCTATGTTATCAAATGTATCAGTCAGTGAACCAGCCTCACCCGCCATACGCTCACAGACCTGCCATGTCTCTGACATACCGTCAACCGATGCCACTTCTCCGTTGGTGCCCGAACAAAACTACTCACAACCACTTACAGTCAGTGAACCAGCCTCACCTGCTATATGCTCACAGACCAGCCATGTCTCTGACATACCGTCAACTGATGCCACTTCTACGTTGGTGCCTAAACAAAACTGCTTGCAACCACTTACAGTCAGTGAACCAGCCTCACCAGTTGTCTGTTGTTCAATTATGCTTGAGCATAACTAAGCAAATCAAAAGAGAACCCAAATCTTATCAAAGAAAAAGATTAAAAGGCAGAAAAAAATAATTTTAATTGGCAGAATTTCTTACCCACCAATCAAGAAATGTTCCTGGAAGAGTATCTTTGACTCATCTGGTCAAACTGGTATTCATGTACAACAAAATGAATAAATGCTCAATTATCGCATTAAGAGATTTCTTTGCCATTTGGCATGGATACTTTCACAAGTTCAGGAAAAAGCTGAGATGGGTTATCAATTTGCAAATGTTTGTTAATGAGGTTACTGTTCACTGGTTGTATATTTTCACCATATATTTGGGGCCATTCAAATTGGATTGTGTGATATTAATTCTATGATCATGTTGTACTGTTGTTTTGTGCAGTATCGAAGAAAGATATTTCAGTGTTATAACTATTTATTCTTGTAACTAATATCAATCCCAGCTGTATTTCGTGGCAAAAACATACCTATTCTGTGACTACAATTTCACTTTCACAATTGTTTTTAGTGACAATGTTGATTGATGATCACTAGTGTAAACATACAGACATAAGCAATAATACATAATTCATATTTACTGTGAAACAAAATCAGGATATTGAGTTTATGTTACCATTTCTCAAACGAAAAATGTTTGTAAATTGTTTTTACGTTTCCATTTGTCATACTAAACTTGGCATTTAAGAACAATATGTTTTCTAAACATTGGTGAATGGAGAATAAGAAAAGTAAGCAATTTTTTCTATGATTTCACTAACAAATGTGATTATTATCACATATTTTAAGAGTTGATGAGATGAATGGTAACTGTTCAAATTTGGGATTTGTCACGTCATGATTATCTGTAATTGTCAAAGTGCTTCGCTGCATGAATTGCCTTAGCTTATCATACTGTAGATTGTACATGTTGTAGTGTGTATATTCGAAAATATATTGAAAGATTTCTGAGTGCAATTGTTGTGGTGTTAATTTTCTTCTTGAGATGACAGTTTACTGTACTAGTACTACTACTTTGGATGTACTTCACATTTCCAATAGCATTAAGAATATTATTAAATTCATATGTATGTATGTGTGAAACTATTGAACTAAAATGTACATGGAAAACATCATTTTTGTCCAGTGGTCAACCATGTGCAGAAAGTCTAATAACAAATAATCTATAACCCTTTTGGGAGGTATTTTCCCTTTTGACCCTTGTAAGTAATGTTGATGCCCTTTAGATTATAGGTTGCTGCATTGTACCTATACAATTATACAAGTCCATGGCTATACTTAATCTCCATGTCTACATCAGTGTTATCAAATGACTCAATGTACTAAATGTTAGTTGGGATACTATTAAATAGATTTAATAGAGATTAGGGAAATGTTTCCGAAACATGTCAAGTTTTCATAAATTGGGTATCAACAAAGTGTATCGATACCTCGCTGGTGTATACTGTTTTGTTTATAAATCTATTTTGATTGCAAATTTCACCTGCCAGGAGTTTCAGCTGCAATTAGAGGAGTCACTATGCACAAAGCCTGCTGAATTTCATACTGGGCTTTGCACGTAAATCCCCTACTTTGAGAAAGGCTGGTCGAAAGGTAGATTTCCCCCATGATATGACACAATGCGCCTCATCAACAATAATGTGACTGATCTGAAATTTGAATATGGGGTGAGGATAATGGGACACAGTACACTAAGACATGTTTATTTAAAGAAAACATTTAACAAAATGTGCAATAAAATAATCACTACAACAAGGCGATTTTGGTCTTCCCTCACGACCATATCAAAGTCAAAGAGAATTAAGCTTCCTGACCACGTCAAGGTATCGCCCTTTCAGGAGGTTTACATATTAAATAGCACCATTTTCCAAACATGAAACATACATTTATTTATAATTATTACACTGTGGCTACGGAGGCGATTGTGCTGCTCTTCGAGAACCGCATTTAGTGGATTCACAACCACTACAGTGCTGGCGGAATCGTTCACTGTATCACAACAGTTTTGCCGTAACCAGTCGGTAGAACACCAAAACACCCCTTGATGCACATGCCAAAATAGCATCACGTTGTTTAGCCTTTAATTGGAAAAAATTACAAGATTGGTACCTGTTCGCCCGATCCAAAATATTTGCAATTTCTATGTTACTGTTGACAGACGACACATTAGTCGCCATCTTGTCTTGACTATGTTACTGTCTATATAACCAGGAAAGGCGCTAAACCAGTTTACCGTAACGTCAAGGTGAAGGTTGTTTTACCCAATACCGGTCGTTCCAGTCTGTCGCAGGAACGAACGGGAACCAGTCTAGAATGTCACTGACCCACTTTTACAAATATGGAAACGTCATAGAACAAACCAGATGACGTCACTAATTCGTGACGTCACTTTCTCTACCCTATGACGTCAGCTAACAACGGGCTTGATAATAGCCCGTCGTGAAGCAATATGAGGGCATTATAAAGTTACAGTGGCCCGCTCATTTCTGATAACGTGCGAGCGGTTGAATGATAATGCTATCCATTTTTGTTATAATATGGGTTCATGTTCACTTTAAACAACAATAATGAATTTATGGCTCGTAACACCTTGTTATTATAATAGGGCACGTCAACGGATAAAACAGGTTCGTATTCACTTTTACTATTATATCTAGTACTATGGTTCTACATCAACTTGGTTGCATGTCAATGAACGACACGGTTTCATACTACCTTAAACAGTATACAGGAGAGTATGTTATAGTTAAGACGTAACGGTATAATCAGGTATTGTGTATAATACGTGTAACATGCTGGGATTATGTGCAATACCTGATTCACTCAGTTCGTATGCTAACATTGCTCACAGTTAAAACGTATAATCAGTTATAATGGATACTAGATTATGAAGCTAACTATTGTGGTATATTGCTGTGTTAATATGAGGAATAAAAAGGACTTTGATGTGAAACTTTAATTCTTTATTAATGCAATTAACATAATATCGTCACATCGCCATTATAGATATAATATATTATTTTGACAGCGACACTGGTTAAAACTCACTTAAATTATCAATACAGGCTAAATGATACTTATATTCAGGATTTATGTTGTTTTTCGGGACGCTCGATGAGATTGACATGTTTCGGAAAAACAAATGTTCTATTTATTACCGTGTTTTCGCAGTGATATTACATGTCTGAAAACCATAGTGACAATGAGATGGACTGAAAGAAGTTCCGACTTAAAGTGTTATTTCACACAAGTGAAATATCGATGCATATCTTCAGATAAATTTAGTTTTTATCTCTAAATAAACAGTAAAGATTCATTTTATAATGACACACAAACAGAAGATTTTCTCGTTTATTATTTGAATTGGGAATGTCACTGAATAGCATTGGTTACTGTGATGTATTAGGAAATCCTGTGTGCAGCACTAAACAGGTTAGACATGTTTGTGCTTTAAAACATGAGCCTAGAAAACACATGGTACAACCCACACATTTCCAATCAGAATATCTCTGCAACTGCCAGAGGCTCTGTGTCTGGAAGATGAGAAATAGCGTGGACACGAAGACTACAATAACACGTGAAATCTATTACACACACAATATCTCTTAAATCATGGCAACATTTCATCAACAAGAAGCGAGCTTCAATTGGGTATTTGTCTAATGATGAAAATCAGTAGAAGATAAATCACACATGAGATCGGCGCAAAACAATTCGGAGGGAGGAATTGTAATCTGTTGATTTATATACCTCCTTGTTGTCTGATTTGGAAATCGATATAGGGATAAAACTGCAGCCAGGTTTCTTCATTAAACTGTCAGCAAAAACGTTCCCATTTTGTGATGATAATCTATATCTTATAGCTTTTTCAAATTTAGAAACCTGATATTACTCTATTATTTGGGCCAATCTTCATCTGCCCTTTTGGGAAATGGGATACTTTTCTAAGAAATAACGTGACAAGTAGACAAATGACACTTTTTAAAGTGCTTCATTTGGGGCAGAATTGTTTGGAATTGTTGCAAATTAATCGGGTGATATAATAAGTGTGTTCCATTATGTCATTAACTTGATGACATGTAACTGAGTTCTCGTACAGCTTCTGTATTTGGTAGACCAGTGTATGTTGGCGCTGACTGAAACAACGTTAAAGCCAATATAAAATTGTCCTACTTTTAAAGAGTGATTGATTACACTCGAGAAATTCGGTATACCATTATTTCTCTAATGGCCCTCTGGGTGTAAATGGGTATGTACCTTGTTTTTTGCTATGGGTTCTATGGGTTTAGCAGTATCACTCAGTTCTGATATAACATTTTTTTTTACAATCCATTAACTCGAAATGCATAGTTTCTGATACCCATCAAACAATGCATTACGATTCAAATGTTTGGTATTTACAATAGCCATAGTATTTTAGAATTAATATGGGTTTCAGAAGGACATAAAATATTTCAAAATATATTAAAGTAGACGTTTGATATTTTACAATTATAATGATTATGCCATATTTTAGTTTAACCAAGTGCCTACCAATCATGCTGTTGAGATATTTGAGAAATATACGTGAGTCATTTCGCTTTTACCGGGATAATTAAAACTTGCTTAAATACAGACTCCCTCAACTACGTCCGTCTATTGTAATTGTATGAGCTTTAAAATTATTCTTCATCTCTGTATTGTGTAAAACCTATGCAGTCGTTTCCTTGATGCTGAACAACCTTGGCCAACTATAAAGACTTTATGACTTGCACAACGGGTAGCATCAAATCGTTCCTTACCACTGCACAATTTATTGAACTCTTCTTGTGTCACGAACGAAACAAATATAAACAGATTTTTGGTACTTCATACAATTCCGAAAAAGATTCCATATTTAAACGGCTTTATTTATCAGGTGCAGTATATGTTCTCAGTGCGCCATGGTTGCCGTAAGAGACATCCAAAATAAAGAGCGGGTGGTCAGCAATGTTTGATCTACTGAGTGTGTGGGTCGTTGTTCATCAACCGCATTTGCACTTGTCCCAGGTTCCAGTATTTACAGTCTGCCTGATGTGACCAGAATATCTGACTGTGACGTACAAGATTCACCCTCTCAATGTTCTGTATTGACCCCAGGATAGGATATCTAGACGATTTGCATATTCATAACATGTACCAATTGTAACTCACTTAAAATGAATATAAAACTAAATGAGTACTCTTCTTGCGACAAACTTTCTGTTTCATTTCAGGAACATCCTGATATAACACGGCAATATATTCTTGCTTATCGTCAGGTTCGCAGACGCTGAACCTTTATATCGTCGTTGGTGCTTTGGTCCAAGCCATCGAACGTCACTCGTGCCCTTGAGACAGGCTGTAAATATATCTGTCTCACTACAAGTCAGAATTTAGATGGATCCTTCACAGTGCTGTTGTAAGTTCCTCCGTAGGGAGTACACGTATTGTGGTAGGTATCAAGTGCGGTAACAACAACAGTCACGCTCTCGGATACGTTATTTTCTTTTGGAGCTCATTGTGTCCAGTCCGTTAAAAGTTGTTTTGGCAATTCACCGACAGGTACAATATTTGGTTTCAATGTACAATGCGTTGACTGACATCATAGTTCAATGATTCATCCGGGATCAGCAAAGGTT